CTTCCATGAGACTCCGGCAAAAGAACCAATTGTTACCACAGTAGTAAAACGGAGTGGTTTCTTCTTTGCATATTCTAGTACATCCTTGCATACTGTAGCATAGTCCCCCATCATACTCTTAAACCGTCCACTCCATCTTGATAAGCGTTTACTGGAGCTAAACCATCTTGAGAAAAACGCCATTTTGATTTTGACCACGCCCATATAAAATTTTAACCCTGTAACATGTGCAAAGGGTTAAAATTTAATTTTAGGGATGTCCAAGAAATCTGTTCTTGTTGTTGTTGGTACTACAAAATTTGAAGATCTGATAAAAGCAGTCTCTGAGAAAAGATTTCAAAAAGTACTAAAAATGATAATTTTAATTTTAAAAATTATATTTAGTTGCTATTTTCAAAAGGGTACACTCATTTAAGTATTCAGATAGGCCATGGTGAATATACACCTGCTGAGAGTGGGAGTGGCAGGGGGGAAGAGCTGATTGTTGACTGGTTTCGTTTCAAGCCTACACTGGCCAACGATATGACAGAAGCATCACTTATTATCAGTCATGGAGGTAATAACTATTAAAACACCTTTTAAATTAAAATTGATGATTAAAAAAATTGTTCATCATTTATTTATTATTATTATTATTATTATTATTATTATTATTATTATTATTATTATTATTATTATTAGGTTCTGGTACAATATTTGAGTCTCTGTCGTTACGTAAAGCCCTGGTTGTTGTTATTAATGAAACCTTAATGAATAATCATCAAACAGAGCTAGCCTCTAGACTGGCTAAAGACGGTCACTTAGTGTATACTTTCAGCAAGTATGTACATTTTTTTGTAACTTTAAATCAATTCTGATCAAAATTGGATTTTTAAACCGAATTTTGAAGTTGCTCAAAAATTAGACTAAAGACCCTGTACTATAGTACAGGGTCATTGGCCAAATTTTGCCAAAATTGGCAAGGAGAGAATTCTTCATTTTTATAATCTTTCCTGATGCATATACATGTACTTATGTTGCGTAGAAAGTTTGAACTGATTCTGATCAAAATTGGATTTTTTACGAATTTTTTAAGTTGCTTAAAAATTGAGCCAAAGTACCTGTACTATTAGTAACGCGGTAGCGTTACTATAGTTTGATTCACCCCCAAACAAAATGGCTGCCACGACTTTTGCAGCCTTGCTATACCAGGAAAACGAGCTCCTATGCTTACCAGACTTTATAGAGGACCTTATCTTGACCAGAGGAATCCAATGGTACAACTAGCGTGGCTCTAGACCTTGTCTAAGAGAAAAGTCAAAAATCGGCGAACCGGCCGTTTTGTTCAGCCACCTTTTTTCATCTTCATCATCATCTTCATCAAGTCCTGTCAATCCAGTTGTCGGTGTGTATCTCAGTATCAGTTGGTGCTACAAGAATAATTCTTACACCAATCTACTCCAACAGTCTATGCGCAGGTCCATGTCCCATCAGATCATTCTTCAAGTAAGGAAAAAGTGATACTGTGACTGCTGGATCGAGCCATCTTAGCTACATGCCGCCATTTTGTTAATTAAAGAAGCTTGCCATGTGCTCCAAAATTTGGGTGTGGTCGCGCATGCTCAGATCTGCAGCTCTGGAAGAAGCAAGTTATTTTTTACCAAGCTATGCTTGG